AAATTTGGCATGTTTATATAAACTACAGGAAATATAAAACAGAACACGTTTCTCCATTGGTAGAATAAAACACACGATTTAAATAAAACTTTCACGAATTTGTGCAAAGACCAAATTTTTTTGTGAGAACATGTTTTATGCTCCAGAAAACTCTGCGAGTGGACTAGAAGTTAGCGTTCATAAGAGCTGTGCTGTTTCTGGAGTTATTAGGTTATTTACAAGGAACCCCCAACCTCAGAACTTTATGACTGTTCTGAGTATGCTGTATATTCAGCTACTTCTTGTAACCTCCCCAAAGCTTATCCACCAGCAGAATTTTCTTGTAAAACCCATAGAGAACGTAAGATGCACTGTCTTAAAACACTTGAACTTTTTTGTTGTTATGAAGAAAACAATAATCTGAACAAAATTCCTTTCAACTCTTTTTGAGCTTAAGAGCATACAAACAAATCAACAAAATTTCACAGCATTTTATTTTTTTCAGCAAAAGAGAAAAGGGAAAATTAAAAAATATATGTGATAGGTGATGTCAAGAAAATGTAAGTATCAAACACTCTTTTCCTCTCTAAAATTGGATTGAGAAGAAAAATAGCCTTAGTGCTTAGAAAAGATTGTAACCACTAGGCAACTACAAATATTTTGTAAATCTTTTAAACTAAAAAGCAAAGGTTTGTAGTCTTTTCAATAAATAAGAACTATGATTTTTTTCTGCTCAGAAAGATTTGAACTTACAAAAAAGAAAGTCTTTGTTGGGGGGGGCTGGTAGTCATTTGGTATCATAAGGAAGGACTTGGGAGCATCTTCTGGGAGGGATAGGATAGGGAGAGATAGGATAGGATAGCGTGGAGAGAGCAATCAGAAAGCAAGAAAGATTGAGAGTTTAGGGTAAAGAAAGGGTGAAGAGGCAAAGGGAGGGAAAGCAAAAAGAGATGGAGGCAGGGCACCTGGGGGGTATGGAGGGAAGGACAGGGAAGGAGAGACAGAGGAGGGGCTTGCCTAGGAAAGGGGTGGGGTGATGAGTGAAGGAACAAAAGGGGGAGGAGGTCTAAGGAGCCAAAAGGGGTGGAGTGATAAGGAGGGGAAAGGAAGGGAGAGGAGGGATAAGGGGGAGAGGAAACTAAGGGAACAAGGAATATGGGTGTTTCTTTTCTTTTATGGCCTTGGGCTGAATATAACTGAAAAAATGACATTGGGTGTTTCCTCCCCCCCCCCCCCCCCCCTNGGCACTACAAACCAGAAAATTTTAATGTTACCTGATTAGTTTCAAATTCTCTCTTAAAGCATAATGGAAAGTAGATTCTCATAACATGTAATAAGGAACTGATTCTTTGAGTACATTTACAGTTTTGAAGTTCTGAAACAACTAAATATACAGTTCATTTTGGTAGAATTATCAGTGTAGCAAAATATTGAAGCTCAAACATTAGAACACATTTAATTAAAATAAGGTTTCTCTCCCTCCCTGAATGAAGCAATATTACTTAGTAATAGTTGTCTATACATCTGTCTATAAGCAGTGAGTTCTACTTATGTCAAATAAAGACTGCATCATAGACATGGAAAATATTTTTAAAAAACAGTCATATATGGAATTTTGAAAATGGCCATAACATTTAAGCTCATTTTCAAAAAGCCTTTGAATATTGTTACTATTGTGTTTGTGTGGGAGTGTGTATATTTTGCAACATTTTATTAGTAATATACTAATTCCCTTAGGAAAGCAGTGTTTAACATTTAAAATACACACATGTAATATTTTAAAATCTTATCAAAAAATAGGAATTCAGCTATGTAACATTAATATTGGTTTTAGTTATGTAAATGGTAATTTTGCCTGGCAGCCACTAGATGGCGCGCCTTTGAACTTGAAATTTGGCATGTTTATATAAACTACAGGAAATATAAAACAGAACACGTTTCTCCATTGGT